TATACGATTGTTGGTTTTCGTAATACAAATGTTTAAACTACATATATACGATTGTTGGTTTATGTAATACCAATGTTTAAAATACACATATACGATTGTTCGTTTACGTAATACAATTGTTTAAAATACATATATAACGATAAATAATGTGTGTGGTCTGAAACTTAAACAGTTTAATTTATAGTTTCAACTTTTGAAAACATAAACGAATTCAAATAAAATAAAATAAAAACTTGTACGATATTCAGTTAATACAGTTATTATTTATAAGTGTTAAACAATTTTAAACTATGTAACAAAAAATGAAATGTTTTCAAATGACTGTAGCTATTATTAGATTTTATCATACCAGTTAAAACATCCTTGTCACGAGCGCAGCACATGCGGCTCGAAGGACGGTCCCTTCTCTCTTCACCCTTTAACTTCACTTAACGCCGAGAAGAGGAGGAACGACTAGCAGACTTACCGAGAGTGCTGCTTCTGTCGAGTTCTTATGCCTAACTCCTGCAGTTTCCTGGGGTGCTATCTATAGACGTCACCACTCGGATCGGTTAGTGAGCGTTTGGTACCGAAGACTGAAGCCTAATGTGATGTCTGAAATGACGAATGAAAGAAATGAGGTTTTAGTGATGCAAACTTCGCGCCTCTTTATGATTGGATAATATATCACGTACTAAAAATAACACAAATTCTCGAACACAGCAAAACTAAGAAGCTGACGAGCCAAGTGAGCGGTTAGAGGGGGGGAGGGAGAGTAACGGAGGTTAGACTGGCCTCCCATGTTCCAAATTTGGATACTTGCAAGCTGAGAACTGTAGAGCTCCTGGAGGATCACGAACGTTGCCTGTCAGTCGAGCTGAACGCAGTCTACATGAGCTTTCATACAGATAAAATCATTCAAATGTAACTACGGGTAATAGTAATTCGAGTGTTACATCTCTAATCGTGTGTGCGGATTTAGAGATATGTTTTTCATCACGTTGCACTTTTAGTGTTTAATTTCATCTGTTTTCTTTAATATAACAGCCAAGCTTTTTCGTCTATTTTCCAAATATTTTATTTTAGTAAACGAACAATACATTTAAAATCTAAATCTGTGTAGCGTTCCAAACCAAAATTATCCAATAGAAACATTCCCTCTGACGTCATAGGCATGAGGAATAATATCAAACGATTAATTTTGGAGAGGAGTTTCTCACTAATGTGTTTTTATAAATGTTTCAACTGGCAGCAACAAACGTAGTCCAATATGATTGAATATATAGAGTTTAATCTGCTCACTTGTCTCACAGAATGTTAAGGCAAAACGTCCAAAATATATAACTGTTGAAAACATAAAATATACAGCAGTTAAAAATATAAAATATACATCTGTTAAAAATATAAAATATATAACTGTTAAAACAAAAGACATATAACTGTTAAAAACATAAAATATATAACTGTTAAAAACATAAAATATATAATTGTTAAAAACAAAATATGTCACTGTTAAAACATAAAATATATACCTGTTAAAACATAAGATATATAACTGTTAAAAACATAAAATATATAACTGTTAAAACATGAAATATATAACTGCTTAAAACAAAGTACATAAATGTGACAACCTGCCTTTAACTTATGTTTTGTTTCTGTTGGCATTCTCCGAAAATAAAGATCTAAGACCAACGTTTTTGCTAACTTACACACTCATTTAAATTTGTAAAAGTTTTTAGTTGATTGCTTGATCAAAGAGTGAACAACAACTCCATCAAGGACAGAATCTGTGATTCCCAGCCACAAGCAGGTAAACTCCTTTCTGTATTTTTCTGTGCAAAGTGTATAGCAAATTTCTTTCTGATATCTAAAAAACAAAAACAGAGACAACGACAGAAAAAATAATATGTATGTATATAAAAGTGCACGTTATTAATTTCAAAGAACTGAAATAATCATTTAAACTCTGTAGTGGGTGGAGATTACATTTCACTGCACTTTCTAATGTTCAATATATTTCACAGTGAACCAATTAAACCTTTCATAGACACGTAGCACTCTTTTACAAATATAGTAAAGCCAAAATTTATATCTATCTTTCTATCTACCTTATTATCTATCTATCTATCTATATCACATGTGATTAAAATAATATTATTCCTCTTGTGTCTCATGTTGTTCTTTCTTTCTATCTTTCCGAATTGTTTTGTATTTATTTCGAATGTATGCTCTGTCTTGAAAATGCACAAAGTTTTCTTTCAAAGCTTTTCCGCATTTCTTTTACAGTTTGCTTGAGGTGTTTTAGTTCAATAAGTAAATACGACCAATCGATCACTCGACAGTTTTCGAGATCTCGACTATTTCTATTAGCAGTAATCATAACAATCAGGATTTTTTTTAGATAAATAAACGCACTCAATGTAGCTTTCAAATTGTAGGGTTAAAACAGGGGCATAAAAGTAAGTTTGTTGCGATGTAATGCCGAATTTCGCGTATACATAACGTATTGTGCTACACAACAACTGTCGAATAAATCCTATATACTACGACATTTGTCACTATTCTCTTTTCATTCCTTAGCCTATTTCTGGTCAAGTAACTTAAATGAACTACGTGAACAACTAATAATTTAGTAGGTGGAAAAGTTATAAATATTTATTTATTTTCTGGTCGTTTAAACTGTACTTATAGCGAGACAACTTTGTACCGATAGAGGGAAATAGACAATCTTTCATAGAAGAAACACAAAAACAGTAAATAAGCAGCCGAAATAATGGCTTACCTTTTGCTCTCACGAACCCCCTTCTCACACAAGACTTCAAGAAATCCCTAATCCTTCTCCTCCCTTCTCTGCAAAGTTTTCATAAAAGCTATTTCTGGCAAAGCTTTGCCCTTTGTAAAGACGTAACTGAGTACCGTTCATTAGTTCTTCCAACTCAACCTTTTTTTTTGTCGTTGTTTTATTCAACTGTCTCGTCTTGTAATTTTTATTTTTACCTTTTATCTCGTGCTTTTCAAGCGCGATAGTTGCTGACATTCTATGTCAACTATTTTTATTGCGCCAGTTATAGCAATTCGTTGATTTAAGACACTGTTGTCGATATTTGTTATTGTTTAATTTATACATCGAATATTTACTAGAAACGTTTCCAAACATTATTCAGAGACCTGCTTTCGAGTAAAAATATATAATAGTAGATAAATAGATATATGAACACATATATAATTACCGCTTGAATAAAAATATTTTAAAAAGTTAAAACCAAAATAAAAACTTCCATAAACCCGAATAATTACTTACGGATAAGAAACGCCCCTAACATTCACGAAGCTTCAAGACTTCTAGACATTTAATACAAATATTGTTCTTCTGTATATGTAAAAAAAAACTGAATTCACATATAAGTAAACAAACAGACGTTTCTTTGGGTCTTTACTCATTCCAAGAAATGTTCGAAAATTTTAATTAATGAAATCGTCGTGTAGCTAGCTTTATTTCGATTAAAATTGACCAATATTTCGCATGCACTCTGCTCCATTGCACCTGAAACTTGTGTTTTCAAACTATTTATTATGTAGTTTTCGAATTAACTTATAATATTTTTCAGACAAAAAAAAATAACAACAACTGAAATGAAACAGAAACTGACCAAAAATCTAATCTTAAAGGTGTAGAAGGCAAATTAAAAGTGTATGTGGAGGGGGGGGGGGCAAGGTTTATTGGATCAATTACGGCCGAGATCCAGGACTCGCTTTAGGGCCCTGGATTTAATTTTATGCACTTTCCTGCTTTTCTTGAGAGTAATTTTCGTAAATATGATGCATGTTTATTATAATAGATTGAAAAGTTGGGTATAGGGGGGGCGCCCCCCGCTTCCTATGCCACTGACTCGCATTCTACTATTAGATTTTTTTTGTCAAGCAGAAAGTTTTTTAACTTTATAAACCCACAGAGCTACCACTAAGCCTACAGTTAGTTACTTGGTTGGTTGGTCTGTTTGAAGTTAAGCACAAAGCTACACAATGGGCTACATGTGCCCTGCCCACCACGGATATCGAAACCAGGTTTCTAGCATTATAAGTCCACAGACATGCCGCTGTGCCACTGGGGCCCCTAACATTATTTAAAGTAACAGTAAATTGAATGCCTGATTTTTATCAATTTCGTTAAATAATAGGAAATTTCTGCTTCTCAAACAAGGTTTAAATTCATCACTTGTGAACTACTCTTGTTATTTATAGGTCCCTCGTAGTAACTGTATGGACTTACAATGCTCAAATCCGGTGTTTGATTGGCCGCGGTGGACACAGCAAATAGCCTAATGTAGTTTTACTCTAAAACAACCAAATTAATCTTATCTATGGTTTCAAATCTTACAAACTTGAATTACACATTAGTAGAAATATAAATTTCATTTTACTATTATATTAATAAATGTATGGATTCTTTGTAAGTTTTATAAATTCGTATTGAGAAGATAATCAAAAACTGGATAGTTTAAAAAGATTAAGATTTATTTTTTTAAAAATCCCTTATCGTTGAAGGCATTGGAAACAAAGAAATATGGATTAACTTTAGGTTCCAGGACCATACAGAAAGAGACTTGTAACAAGTAGTACCCAAGTCATGGTATGCAAAGTCTGATGTCTTGTAATGGTGAGATTCCAGAACATAGAGTTCATTTGTAAAAGCTGTAACGTATCCCAGACAACGGTAAGTAACATAATCAAGAAGTATCTTCATCTGAAAACGATGGCAAATATGGTTCTCGAAGACAGAGCTTCAGGTCATGCTTCCCGTTCAACTGTCACATACCTCGAGAAACTGGGAGGATGAACAATTATTCCTTATTAAGACATGCCGATCAAGTCACCGTATGCAGCGCCCATGGATTTCTATGCGATAAGATTTTTGAAATTGGCGCTGGAAAACTCTCACTCTCATACTCTAGATGGATTATCGGAAGCCTGCATTGAGGAGTGGCGTAATTTGGACATGACAACTTTACAACGCAGCCTAGAGCAATGGGAATTTACCTGCAAAACTACTGCCAAGACGCTTGGTCGTCAGATAGAACATTACCGGACGTGGCGACATGGATTATAACGACGTGGGGAAGCTCCAAAATCATTTTAATATAACGCACTCAACCCTTTGTATTCATAATAATATACTGTTCTAGTTAGAAAAACATGTTTCACAGACGTGTCGTTTGTGGCAGCTTTAGCCGACTGGAAAAATCATAATCCAAAGTGGAATTACATATTATAGGAATTCTCTTATTTTAACACACTTTACTACATATATTACAAAAAACAAACAAACCACGACCAAACATTTTATGAACGATGGAAATTCTGATTCACGACTATCCACGGACTCCTTCGTCTACAATCCTTATACTGATATAATGACAAAACATTTCATTACCAAATAAACGTTTACAAACTGTGTTTGTGATTATTCAATA